TATTTCAAGTACCCCACAGCCACATATAACTAGCAGTTGCCATATGGAACAGTACACACCTATAACAAAAATGAGTCAAATACTATTACTAAATTTCTAAAGAGAGGAAGGAAGGAAGAAAGGGACATAAAGAGAATTAAGATGTGTTATGTACAAGTATCAGCTCCCCATCATTATGTACTGTAAACATGCACTAATGAAAATGAAAATTAAAAACAAAAAAAATTTCTAAACCATAGTAACATAAAGTACCTAAACAAAAGCAAAATGTCTTTAATAGCACATGTACACTGACAATGGAGTCAAATCATAAGAATACCAATTAACACTAATAAAACATTTATTATGTGCTAGACCCTATGTTAAATGTTTTTCAAGCATTGTCTCATTTGATTATCATAAAAACTACTGGTGCAAATACTAGCAATATCCCCACTGTATGTACAAGGAAACCAAGACATAGATAAGGTAAAGTCAAGATTTAACCCCAACTGTGACCTTAAAACACTACACACGCAATATCACAAGAAAATGACAATAAAAATCAAAGGCATTTTTAAAATCAGAATACAAAAAACAGATATAAAAAAAGATAAAGTATGAAATAATAAAAACTAGTTTTTGGAATTAACAGGCCTTTTAAACTGAGTCATTATATAACAGGTTTCTATAATATGCTCCAATCTCCAAACTATATAATTTTGGATTAGAATTTGTATTTTTAAACTATTATTTCCACAAATATTTTATTTAACCTTATATTACTAATATAAAATGAAAATGCTTATTAAAAATTATAGTTTTAGCTTAAAGAAAAAAATTATTTCAATATCAAAGATTTTCCAGTAGTGTATTGATTTCAAGAGTTATACTTTTCTGAAAGTCTCACTGTATTTATTTGTCATGCTAATTTCATTGTGGACTTTTTAATAGTCTCATTCTCTTTTATGGAAGGAAGGAGGGCTTATCTTCTTCCCATTTACCTATCATTTCAAAGAATGAAAAGGTATGCTAAATAGGCAAGAATAGAGCTACTCTCTTTCACATATTTCAATTCTAAGGAAAAGAGGATGCTATATAATATTGAACAACATATTAGATAGGTCCACTCTACTCCAAGATTTTCAGCTAAAACAAAGACATAAGGCATACCTTTACATGTACATGCCATTGGCAAATGAGACAAACACTACCTAATGGTCATAAAAAGTTCAGATAAAAAGCTGGACATATCTTCAGAAAATAACATTCAAAACATTCCTCTAAGTGGGTGTGGTGCACACCTGTAATCCCAGTACTCTGGAGGCTGAGGCAGCAGGATTGCTGTGAGTTCGAAGCCAGCCTGGTCTACACAGCAATTTCAAGGCCAGCCTGACTACATAGTAAGACCCCATCTCAGAAAAAAAAAAAAAAATTCTCCTTCTGAAATAAACAGTCCCATGTTAAAGAAGGTCTGTGATCAGAGCTCAGTCTGATCCCTTTGTGTACTTAAAAATCACAAGATAACGATGGCCTTGATCCACAGTTGAAGGCCATGACTGTCTGCATACTAACTTTGACATTTTCAGGGTGTCCCTGGAAAGATTGATCACACACCTTCAGTTACATAACAAACCTATTACCAGACTGCTTTCATTATCCCTCCCACACATTCAAAACTTCTCAAAGGTGCCCAGATCTAAAACAGGGATAGACTTAATTAAGAAAGAGTGCATCTGTACAACATGCAGCGCTGGAGCAGATAGTCACCAAGAGAAAAGGTTAAAAGTATTAACCTGCTCCTGTCCTAGGCAAGAGACACATCAGCTTACTAAAAATCTTCTAAAATTATATTTACAGCTTTTATATTTTTTTCTCTAAATAATGTGAACAACATCAATAAATATCTCACATACCCTATGAAGTTCATCTGTGGGAGTTTTTTTGCTTTTCTGTTTTCTTTTTGACTGCCTACTAGTATATGTGTCAGGTACTGGATAGGGCCTTTATGTATACATCATCCTCTATTTCTCTGGTTATGGTCTCCTTTAGGAGTTAACAATGCTAGAATCAAAATGACCTCACCTCTAACTTACATTATCTGAGTTTCTCCTCCCCATATGACAATGTAACTCCAAGATCTTCTCATCTATTAAACAATTATTTGCACTATGAAATCTTAAGACCAGGGCACAATTATTTATAAATGTCTTTTGCTCTTTGAACACTTTTAAGAGGGATCAGACAAATTAAGTACAAAACAATCTTCTTAAAAAAAAAAAAATCACGGGCCGGGGATTTAGCTCAGTGTTCCGTGGCCTACATCGCAAGCTCAAGGACCCGAGTTCGATCACTAGTACAAAAAAAAAATCAATGCTCGGTGCCACGCATGCCTAGCAGGCTCAAGGTCCTGAGTTTTTCAATTCCCAGTTGGCGGGGGCATGTAAAAAAAGTCAATGCTGGTACTCAGGACACTGAATCAGGAAAAGGAGAGTTTGAGGCCAGCCTGGGCTACATAGTGAGATCCTATCTCAAAAAAAGTCAACACTAAAGTATTTAGGGCCAACAGAGAAACAGAGCTCCAGTCATATCTGTGCTCAGCTACAAATGCCAAGTATGAATAATCACTGTATACACCGATTACCATGCAAAATAAAAAACTTACATTAAAAAGTAATTTATAAACCACAAATATTTTAGTAGATGATTTAAGATAAAGTTTCTACATATATGACTCAATATTGAGCAATTTTTAAAATTCCCTTGTGAACAAGAAAAAAGTGAAAATAGAAGGAAAAAATGGAAACAAAGCTTTTATACACAGAGAGGGAAGAGGGCTTGGGGGGGGAATGGTATGAAATAAAATTTATGTAAAAAATTTTTTTTTAAATTCCCTTGCAACTGGCCCTTTCTTTCCCTTCTTTTGCAGAACTGAGTGTTGAACCCAGGACCTTGTCCATGCTAGGTAAGCACTTTACCACTGAGCGACATTCCTAACTCCTTTTTAAAAATTCTTTGAGACAGTATTTCATTAAGTTGCCCTGGCAGGCCTCTAACTTAAAATGTCCCTGACTCAGCCTCCTGAGTTGCTGGGATTACAGGTATGTGTCACCACTCCTGGCTGTAGCTGGCCTTTAAACCCAAAGAAAATGCTACAGATCATAATACCCTTCCTCTGAGAGTTCAACAAAAACAAATAAAGGCAAGAGAAAGTCAATTCAAGCTGAAGGAGGTACGTGTGGCCAAGAATGCCCAAGAACATAATACAAACTGCATCTGTCCCCCAAAATCTGAACATACTCAGTAATCTTTTTTTTTCCACTTTTTATATAGTATATATTTTGTTATTTTATACTAATACATTCTCATATTACAAAGGCAATTTAGTGGAAGAATCTTCCTTTTGATATTTGATCATGTGAACACAAATAGAACTGTACATTTAAAAAAAGTGTGTGTGGATAACAACAACAAAAAGACAAGTTAAAACAACAAAATAATTGTTCTTTTTTACAGGTGGACACTGAAGTGGACCTAATTCAGTTTGCTTTTTAAAAGCCTCCAAAGACAAAAAGCAGCTTAAAATCTAAGATGAATAAAAAATAAAATTGGTTACTAAACTACTGGTCTCCAGCACCATTTTGTTTTCTTCTGTTGTTGTTGTTGTTGTTGTTGTTGGGACGAGCTTGCACTTCCAGGGCAGGCGCCAGAACCACTGAGCTAAATCCCCGGCCCCAGTTTTCTGTTGTTTTGATGCAGGTTCTTCTTTGTCTGTTTCTTCTCTTGCTCTTTGCAATGGGCCAGCTGCACCATTTTCATCACGTCCTTCATCACTATCAAAGTCTGTTTTCTTGCCCTGAAACTATACTTTTCCTTTAGCAGATCCAGGCTGGGTGGCTTTATTTCCTTTTCCTTTCCCTTTAAATCTTCGACCTTTTGATTTCCATTTGTTTAGGGATTCTTGTTGATCTTCTATGATTTTTTTCAAAGCTTCTTTCTCCACTTCTCCTTCCAATACTTCCCACGTCACTTCCTTGTTCCTTAATTGTAGGCTACCATTGTTTACATCTCTGGCTTTATCTAGTGCTTCCTTGACTTTTTCTTTAAATAGAATTACTCCCTCTTTTGCTCCTCTGACAAAGTCTATCCATTTTATTTCACCATGATTTGAGAAAAGGACATGCAAATCTTCTCTACAGGTCTGATCATCTAAGTCACCTGAGAACTTCAGCAAGTATCCAATCTTTTCTTCTAGAGATTTCATTTCAGCATCTTCTGCTAACTTGTTTTTCTTCTTGCTCTTGTTTTGCTCTTAATTTAGCTTCCACTTTATTTTACTTTCTTTCTTCATTTTTCTTTGCAAAATAATCTTCCTTAAAAAGTATTAGCAAGTCTGTGTCTTTATACTTCTGGCCCGGAGTTTCTACAAACTTCTTAGCAGATTCAATGCTATCAAACACAGCAAATATTGATCCCTTAAATACTTTGTGTAATGTTCTTCTCATCTGGATATTTAGTACTTGACCTTTACCTTCTAGCCATTCTTTGATATCATTGAGGGTTGCATTGTTGAGAAGCCTTTAATATAAACAGATCTGTTTTTTACATCATTTTTATACTCATCAGTCACTTCAGGGAGGGGTTTGTTTGGAGATCTTCTGATTTTAGTTTTATCCTCACTGATTTCCATGAGTTCTGCTTTAGATGTGCTCAATGCTTCAACTATTTCATGAAAGTGTTGTTAGCCAATTGAGCCTGTTGAATTTTATCACTGTTTCCAAGGGTACCCAGCCTTCATCCAATTTGATCTGTTCCTTTAAAACTTTCTCCCATGGCAAACTGAAGTCTCCAAAATAATACTCAATTTGATGACAGATTTTGGCCTCCAGAGCAGCTAGTTTTTCATTATCACTATTTTCAGCCACTATGGCTAATCTTTAAGGCCGTGGTCCCACACACCCGCCACAGGTTCACTAACAACAACGGAAGACCTCCCCAAGATCCATACTCAGTAATCTTACCTGTCTCTGAAATGTAGGTAACAGGATCCTGCCGTAAAATTTTACCAGGTTTAGAAGACAATGGTGATTTTTCTGATTGTTTTTTGGCACTTTTTACCTGCACTGTCTCTTCTGATTCTGAATCTGTATGTGAAAAGAAAACAAAACTTGGAAAAGTATTGCAACACAGCATATTTCCCCGTGCCCCTCCCCCCCCATCCCGCCCCAACACTGGGTACTGGGGATTGAACCCAGGGCCTTCTCAATGCTTTCTGAGATTCATCCACAACTCTTTTTTTCATTCATTGACTTTCTTCAATTTTGAGACAAGGTCTTGCTAAATTGCCCAGGCTGGGCTCAAACTTGTGATCTTCCTGCTTCAACCTCCCAAATGTTGGGATTACTGGAAGGGGCCACCACACCTGGCTCAGTACTTTTTTGTTTGTTTGTTGTTTGTTTTTTGAGACAGGATCTTGCTATGTAATTCAGGCTGGCCTTGAACTCACTATGTAACCCAGCCTGGTCTGGAACTCACAGCAGTCCTCCTGCTTCCCAAGTGCTGGGATTACAGGAACCACCACCACTCCCGGTAGGCTCTATATTTTTTAGGTAGTTATTACCAACCAGTTCCTCAAGGTCCCTTTCAAGGCACATCGCTTGTGAGCTTTACCCAGCAATGTATTAGCTTCCCACTGCTGCTGTAACAAATCACCAAAAACTTAGTGGCTTAAAACACAGATTTATTATCTTAGCAGCCCTGGAGGTTAAAGTCTGATGTGGTTCTCACTGTGTAAACATCAAGGGGTCGAAGGGCTGTGCTCCTTACTGAATGCCCTAGGGAAGAATCCACATCCTTGACTTTTCCAATTGGTACCTCAGCAGCTGTCAGTGCTTCCTGGGACACTGTCCCCTGCTCGGCTCAAAGCCAGTGCCATCAGGCAGAGCCTTCAGGCTGCCATCTCTCCTTCTCTAAGCCTCACAGATCATCTCTCTGAAAGCTCTTCTGCCTCATACTCCCCACACACACTGAGTCCACCTGAACAACCTAGAATAAGATCTCTACTGCATTTGTTTTATTTTTTTTCATTTTTTATTTCACGTGCAGCTTTTATTTCCTCTTGCCCTATAACCTAACATATGCACAGGTTCCAGGAATTGGTGTGGAAATATCCTGGGGTGGGAGTCAGGGCTCTGTCCATTACTGCCTAACTGCCCAGACTACTTAATATAAACTAGGTCAAAGTTTAAGCACATAGCATACCACCTGGTATAAAACAGATGTTTCATAAATTTACTCTTCCTCTGCACTATCCACTTCTAAGTCCTATCTCAAACTGTTCTAAATTATAATAAACAATTAAACTGCCAATTTTCCAATGTTAGGTGTGGTGACATATGCCTGTAATTCCAGCACTTGGGAGGCTGAGGCAGAAGGATCACCACAAGTTCAGGGCCAACCTGGCGACATAGTAAGTTCAAAGCCAGCCTGACCCTGTCTCAAAACAACCCAATAAATAGATAGACAGATAGGTAGATAGAAATAATTAATAAAAAATGAGAAATTAGAGACATTCATAGCTAAATGGATGCCCACTGAAATGATACTCGAGTGAAATAAACAGGACACGTGTAAATACCAAATAGTTTCTCTAGTGTGAGAAACTGAAAGTGTAAATAAGGACTAAAAGGTATACTAGATAATGTGAAATAGGAAGAAAAGGGGCACAGGGGAAGGGGAAGTGTGAGGGGTAGAGGAAAGGAAAGAAGGGAATGGAATATGAGAGAAGGAAAAAATGGAAACAAAGCCTTTGTAAATAGGGAGGGGTGGAGGGGTTGAAGGGAGGGCAGGGGAAGGGAGAAAAGTAAGAACCAAGAGATACGGGGATTTAGCTCAGTGGTTCCAGCGCCTGCCTCAAAAGTACAAGGTCCCGAATTAAATCCCCGGTACCAAAAAAAGAACCAAGAGAGTATGTAAAGGTGCAAATTTCCAATGATGAATGTCATTATATTGTATACCTAAAATGTACAAATAAAATAAAATTTTTTAAAAAAAAATAAATAATTAAAAAATAAAAATTGGCCAGAGAGTTAGCTCAGTGGTTCCGCCACCTGCCCCACAAGGGCAAGGACCAGAGTTCAATCTCCAGTACCAAAAAAATAGAAAAAAAAATTTTTTTTAAATTGCCTGTTTTCAAAAAAGCTAGAAACTTCATGAGAAAAGGGACATGTACTTCTTTCAAATTCCTTACAGTATAGAGCTGTAAAAGGTACATAGTAAATGCTCACACCCTTTTAGAATTGACTTGAGTTCCTTTGCTGCTGTCAAAACTTTAACAATCTGAGTACTCGGGTAGCATGCCAGTAGTCCCAGCTACGCAGAAGCTGAGGCAGGAGGAATGCTTGAACCTAGGAGTTTGACACCAGCCTGTACAACACAGCAAGACCACATCTCAAAAATAATCATAGTTTTTTTTAAAGGGAAAAAAAAAAAATCTTGACAATCCGTATCTCCTTAGGGCACATTTTTAAAGAATTCATATAGGATAAAAATTAAAAATTAAGGTGAATACAGTGGCTCACATCTGCAGTCCTAGCAACTCAGGAGACTGAGGCAGGAAGATCACTTGAGTCCACAGCTTCAAGACCAGCCTGGGCAATAAAGCAAGGCTCTGTCTCAAAAACTAAACACAGTTGGGATGTAACTCACTGTGAATCACTTGTCTGTCATGCATTTGTTCCCCAGAACCCCAAAATAAATAAACTAAAAATAAAAAATAAGGAAAGAAAAATATCACACAAGATGGATCTTCTCCACAAAAACAGAAAGTGAGCTTTTTGGACCAGCCAGTGCATCATCAAAGGCATGTGCAGGAGCAGGGGTACAGCTCAGTAGCAGGGGACTGGCCTAGTGGTGGCCCTGGTCTGATCCCAAACAAATAGAAAAATGAATACATAAACCATATTCAAACTATATGAGACATGCTACATACGCTACTGCCTTCTACATAAACCTTTTTTTTTTTTGGTACCGGGGACTGAACTCAGGTCCTTGTGCTTACGAGGCAGGCGACAGAACCACTGAGCTAAATCCCCGGCCCCCATAAACCTTTTTTTTTCCTTTGGTACTAGGGCGCCACTGAGCTACATCCCCAGCCCTAAATAAACCTTTCATACATTAATATATTTAGGTTCTAAGTACTCCAACCAGTTAAATAAAATTGTTTTAAACTTCACCTGAGCTGTTCAGAGACAGCTGTGCATCTCAAACATCAGTTTGGAAAACAATACCTAAGGTATATAAAAGATTTTTAAAACTTTAAAGGTCCTCAGAAGAAGTATTACCTGAATCATAGATGATTCTCTTTTTCTTGTTTGGTTGCTTTTGTTTGGAGGCATCTTCTTTGTAAGAGCTATTTACCTACAAACATCATAGTACAATTAGAACACAAAGCCTATACAACTGGTCCTTAGTTATTTTCCTCATTAGATCTGGGCTTAGTGGTTCTCAACGAGGGGCCATTTTGTCTCCCAGGAGACATCCTCAATGTCTAGAGATATTTTTATCACAAATAAGGGGGGAGGAAGATTCCTGACATCTAAGAAGTAGACCAGGGAAGCTACTAAATATCCTACAACACACATGACAGCCCTCCGCAACAAAGAGATACCTAGCCCAAAATATCAACGAAGCTCTTATTGGACTATAGAATAGTCTAGACAATAATTACATTAGAAGGGGAAAAAAGTATAGCGAAGTTATTTTATTATTCAGCTCCACTTCAACACAAACCTGTGTACAAAAAAGGGTTAAAGGGTACATTACAAAGTACTATCTAAATGAACTTAATGAACTGTCTCAAAAAAAAAAAAATTAAAGGTCTGGGGATATAGCCCAATGCAAAGGTCTTCAGTTCAATCCCCAGTAGCTTCAAGAAAGGAGGGTGGGGGTGGGGATGGGGGTGACACACACCTATAATCCCAGCACTCTGGGAGGCTAAAGCAGGAGAGTCACAACGTCATACCCAGCTTGGGCAACTTATCAAGACTTCGTCTCAAAATAAAAAATATAGGGGGCGAGGGATGCAGCTCAGTGGCATAGCACCTGCCTGGCAAACACAAGGCCCTGAGTTCAGATTCCTGGTATCAAATAAATAAATAAATAAATAGAGAGCTAAGGATATAATTCAATGTAAAGGCCCTGGGTTCAATCCACAGTACTGTTTAAAAAAAAAAAAATGTTCCAAAAAAAACTAAGCTCATAGCCGACCACTAAGCAATGCCCACTGGAAAATTAAACCAAAGCAAAATTTATTTGTATTTTGTAGCTAAACATCACATCTCTAACACTCAATTTTTCCCAAAAAGTATCAAAACAGCAAAAAACTGATTGTAATCAACTAAAAGGTAGAAATATAAGCTTTTCTTGCCCATTATATTAAGCTTCAGAAACATAAAGTCAACCAGCTTGCAATAAAACAGAACAAGTAAACCATTACAATTTATATACACCACTAGATTAGAGGACAGAGTTAGAGGCAACCACAATAACTCAAAAATGAGAGCAGACCATATTTAAAAAAGAAAAGATCCATAGAAAGGGACTCCCAAATTCTGCCTATACACTGTGGTCAATGCTTTCTCCCACACTATGTGTGTGGAATAACTCCTAGTGCTTAGCTAAGATTAAAAGAATGGAACACAGATTTCAGCTGCAGTCCATCACAAGAGGACACAAGAATTTGAAACTTGAGTTGTCAAGTTAATGGCCTGATAAACCAAAATAAAAAATGTGACCTGTGGTAGTTAATTTTATGTGTCAACTTGACAGGACCACAGGGTGTCCAGATATTTGGTTAAATGTGTTTCTGTAAGGGTGCTTCAGCATGCGCTTTTAATATTTCAATCACTAGACTACTAAGTAAAGCAGATACCCCTCCCTGATGTATTTAAACCTCATTCAAGAAGGAAATAATTTTAGGTAGCTGGGAGTGAAATGTAATGGCCTAAATGTTTGTCTCCAAAGTTCATACACTGAAACCCTAACGGTCAGTGTGGCTGTATTTAGAGATGGGACTTGCAAGGAAGTAATTAAAGTTAAATGAGATCTGAAGGGTGAGGCTTTGATCTGACAGGATGTGCACCCTCACCAGAACAGACACCAGCACGCTCACTCAATCTCTGACTACATGCACCGAGGAAAGGCTATGTGAGGACACAGGAAGGAGGCAGTCATCTGTGGAAGCCGGAAAAGAGCCCTCACCTGAAACCAAATCAGCCAGAACTTTGACCATGGCCTCTAGCACTGAGGCTAAATAAACTTCTATTATTTAAGCCACCAGATCCACAGTGTTAACCTTGTTATGGCAGCCAGAACTAACACATGACCCACAGATAAGAGCAGACACTTAAGAGACCAGTCATGATACAATCCAGATATTAGAATTAGCAGGCAGAAATTTTAAAGTGGCTACTATAACTGTTCTCAAGGACATAAAAGGAATAAAAAGTAGCTGCACGTGGTGATGCACGCCTGTAATCCCAACACGCTGGGAGTCAGAGGCACAAAGATTATAGATTCAGCCGGGGATTTAGCTCAGTGGTTTCAACGCCTGCTACGCAAGCTCAAGGACCCGAGTTCAATCCCCGGTACCAAAAAAAAAAAAAAAAAGATTACAGATTCAACACCAGTATGGGCAATTTATCGACTTAGCAAGAGTCTGTCTCAAAATAAAAAACAGAGGTCTGAAGATGCAGCTTAGTGAGTTCAATCCTCAGTATCACAAAAAAAGAGATTTATCTATCACCTACAAAAAGAAGCCAAATGGAAGTTCTAGAATTGAAAAATACAATATTTAAAATTAAAACTTCATTAGATAGGCTTAACAGAAAATAGTCAGGAAGAGCTGGGGATTTAGCTCAGTGGTGCCACCGCCTGCCTCGCAAGTGCAAGATTCCAAGTTTGATCCCTGGTACCAAAAAAAAAAAAGAAAGAAAGAAAATAGTCAATAAACTTGAAGGTTAAAAAAAGAGAAATTAAGGCTGGGGATTTAGCTCAGTGGCACCACACCTGCCTCACAAGCACAAGGTCCTGAGTTCAATCCCCAGTACCACAAACACACACACACACACACACACACACACACATCTATTAAAAGCAAAATCACACTGAACTGTGGAGGATTAACATGCACAGATGTAATACATGTGAAAACTGAAGCACAGAGCGTGGAGTAGTGGTAAGTGCACTTGTAGAACTGTACAACTGTGCAACTTTAGATCTGGACATTTTACATAAAATGGAACAACATTCATTCAAAGACACTACGGTAGCCATTGCCTACTTTCCACAGAGACTTCTGAGGTCCAAGGAGGAGGAAGAGAAGGAAGCAAGGCTTCCTGCCAAGCCTTTCCTCACTCGCTTACCTGAGGACTGGGACTCATGGCTCTGGGAGCAAACCTTGGTCTTAAAATAAAAAGTTTTAACAACTAAAAAGCGTTCCAATCCTATATAAAGAAACAAAAACAACAAACTATGAAAGTAGTGATCTATATTTATTAGAAATAATAGACTTACTACTTTTCTTCTGCTGCTGCTAAGTTATAAATCTGCATTTACATAAGGTTCCCAACATAACAAGTTTAGAAGCTAAGGTTATTTAATATCGCATACAATTCAAAATTATATTTGCAAAACTCACCTTAATTTCCTTTATTCCTTTCTTTGCTTTCAAAGTTTCTTCAGCAGCCTTTGTTTTCTCATTCTTCTTTACTGTTTCACCTACAAGCTTCTTTCCACTTGGTACAACTCCGAAGAATTTCCGAATGTCCTATGAACAAAAACAGACTCATAAATATTAACTGCATAAAATTCTAATTTCAACTACAAAACAGGCCAGCTTTACTCACACACTGGTTTACCCTGCGTAATTTCTCCATATCCAGAGCTCTACATATGCAGCAGCAGCATTTTTATATATAAAAGCTACCTAAAAAAATTACCTGAGTTAAAAAACAATTTGCAGAGCCAGGGATTTAGCTCAGTGGTTCCACTGCCTGCCTCGCAAGCACAAGGACCCGAGTTCGATCCGTGGTACCAAAAAAACAAACAAACAAAAATAATAATAATTTGCCTACCAAAAAGTAGTATTAATTCTCAGAATATGGTGAAATACAGGGCAAAAATAAGCAAGCCAAATTTTTTTAGCGACAGCACTGTTACAAAGAGGCAAGTAGGTCTTTATTGACCACACATGCACACAGATAAGCCAGCAACCCCAGCTGGGGGTGAAGAAGACACACAGCTGAAGAACATGGCCCTTACCCATGGCCATGGGTACTTCAGTTTGAGAGAAGAGGAGCCCTCACAATCCTGATCATTCTCAGTACCGGGAGCCCTGAAATTATTTTCCTTTATCCCAAATTCTGAAGAAAAAAAATTGGTGCTCATTACAATATGCTCTTTGGTGTTTTGTTTTGCGGTACAAGGGATTGAACCCAAGGAGCACTGAGCTACATCCTCAGCTCTTTTCTTATTTTATGTTGAGACAGGGTCTCACCAAATTGCCCATGCTAGCCTCAAATTTATAATCCTCCTGTCTCAGCCTCTGGAGTGTTCAGGATTATAGGTATCACCATGCCTGACACCTTTTTTAATGAGAGGTTTATTTGGCTCACAACAGTGCACACTTTAATTATTGCATCTTCTATGTCAAGCTACAGAATCCAAATTGATCATACTGAAACTTTGCAATGTAACTTACAATTTAAATCACTCACTTTTCTGATCTTTGATATTATATCATACATATATGCACATAAATACATAGTGTATGTATGTATATATGTATATATATATATATTTATATATTCTTCCCTACCTTTCTAGAATTTGTGAAGAAACCATGGTATAAAAGAAAGGGAATAGACCTAAGAATCAGAAAGCCTTGGTTTGAATCTGTGCTCTAGTGTGATCTACCTGTGTGACCTTGAGAAAGTTACTTACTTTCTCTGTGTTCATTTTCTCATAAACAAAGTGAGATTAATTATACCTGCCTTTTATGAAGATTAATGATATATCTATCACAATTTTGGCTCAGCAAAAAGCTTCTCTACATTTCTAAACTACTATCCATTCACGTCACTTAACCATCTCCATTTATAAATTGCTTATACAAAGGGTATAAAGAACAGAAAATGAGTACTTAGGAACTTAACTTCAAAGAAAAAGGTTCAAGAACCAGCTGAACCATTTTTCCTTTTCCTATCCTTAAGTGTATAATCCTGAATTCTCAATATTTCTTTACAACCTATCTGTTCATTGTTTGAGAAATGATTGAAAAGTATTTTGTGAAATATAAAAAATTACCCATTACTTTTTTAGATCCTAGCAGTAATTATAATACCCTTACGTTGTCAAAAATCCAAAACAAGTGTGTTACATACACAAACCCAAATAGCTTTGTGGCTAAGCCTATAAAAAAAAAAAAGCAGACAAATGAAGCTACAGGCATGTTAAATTAGAGAGAGATTAAAGACTTCCTTGGAGGCTACGGGTACACACCCCTCAGTGGCAGAGCCAAGGGAGGCCTTGGGCTTGATCCCCAGCACTAAAAAAGATTGCCCTAGTTTTATAACCTCTTTTGTAAATCTCCCAATATAGAAAAATATAAAATCCATAATTTAAATCTAAAAAATATTGCTTACAGAAAAGAAACCTCAGCTATAAAACTAAAACATCTGTTGTCAGGTGCTAAAGGAAAAGACAATAAAGAAAGCCATAGTCACCCTTGTAACTTGCAAAGAATTGAGTTTGAGGCTGACAGCTACTTTATTGCTTCCGGAAGAAATGAGAGTTTAACATCAGTTTCACTTTTTTGAAATTACACCATGACTCTTCACTTCAATAGGGATGATCATTTAAACACATGAGAAACAGGCAAAGAAAGGACAGGTGTACCACGGAAATAGCAAAGCTCTAATGAAGAGGTTAGCAAGTAGTGGTTTTCAACCTTTTTGGACCAAAAAGCTCAGAACTGCAAAGAGAAAGAAAACAAAATATAATTCAGAGACTGAAAAAACTATTGCTAACATGGAGTGCTGGGTTTTGCCCATACAAAACCTTGTACTGCCATTCCTACCCTACTCCCCCAGAGGCCCTAGACTCTGGTGGCAGCGTAAGAGTTAAATTACAGCATCCTGATCTACAAATCTAGTTTTAGAGAAGAATTTTCATTAGAATGAAGGCCACCAAACTCACCTGTTTTTTAGGGCAATGTCAGCAGCTGTCTTGAATGTAAACATCTAAGAGGCAAAGGTAAGCAGTCTGACTAAGTAATTTGGAAATCGTGACTTCACCTTACTCTTGCAATGAACACTCCCTGTCTAGTATTGTAGGTCTTCAAAGATTTCATGGAATACAGAACAAGCCTAGTAGCTAATCATACAACCAAATGATGGGTCTACACAGCTCCTTTATCGATCAGAATAACTTTTGCTGAGTAATGAGTAGAAAAAGGAACAATTTTTAAATTTGCTCTTATAATCTTAGCAATGGGAAGGTCTTCTAAGCAGAATATCAAGCTAGATAAAAACCATCCATAAAGTTTTTTGGGGGAACGTCAAAAAAAGATTTGACTACTGAAAAATGAAACAAAAATCTATAAACAAAGTAAAAATATAGCTAACTTAAAAACATCTACAACATGTGTAATACATAAATGAGTTTCTATAAATCAATAAAAGATAATCTAGGACCAGGGATTTAGCTCAGTGGTTTTGCTGCCTGCTGAGCAAGCACCAGGACTGGAGTTTGATCCCCGGTACCAAAAAAAAAAAAAAAAAAAAAAGATAATCCAATAGAAAAATGAACTAAAGCTATTAATAGGCAAATTATAAAAGGAATGCAAATAACCAGCAAAATGTGCATACACCCTTTGTCTCAATTATTCCATTTTAATCTAAATGGTAAAAGACACCAGGCACTCTTGGAAGCTGAGACAGGTGGACCACATATTCGAGGCAGGCAGCAGCATCACTGAGCCAAATCCCAGGCCCAAATTCTTTTGGTACTGGGGATCGAACTCGGGTCCTTGCGCTTGCGCAGCAGGTGGCAAAACCACTGAGCTAAACCCCTGGCCCTGGATCACATATTCGAGCCCAGCCTGGACAGCTTGATGACTTAGTGAGACCTTGTCTCAAAATTTTAAAAATTATTAAAAGTTGAGGATGTGTCTCATGCAAAGGCCCTGGGTTCAATCCCTAGTACTGCTTTTAAAAAATGAATTTTTAAAAAAGATATTTTGAGGAGGGGAACCAAAAAAGAGTAATTCTTTCCCCCGCCCCCCCCAGTGATTATTAACTGAACAGACAGGTCAATTCAAGCAAGGCAAAAGATTCAGGCAAAGTCACATAAAAATAAAAACAAACCAAGTGTGGTGGCACACACCTTTAATTCCAGCACTCAGAGGCTGAAGCAGGAGAATCATGAGTTTAAGCCTAGCCCTGGAAACCTTGCAATTTAGCAACTCATCAAGACCCTGTCTAAAAATGGGCTGGGGATATAGCTCAGTGAGAAGGTCTTGGGTTCAATTCCCAGTACTGCAACAACAACAAAAAAAAATTTTGTAAAAGGAACTAATAATAAGAAGTAAATTTTGGCCGGGGATTTAGCTCAGTGGTGCCGCTGCCTGCCTTGCAAGCACAAGGTCCCCAGTTCGATCCCCAGTACCAAAAAAAAGTAAATTTTGTGTGCTTTACTTATACTAACTAGACAGATTTATGTCTCTTGATAATCCTGTGAGGTAAACAGTACATATTCAATTAGGATACATTCCCATTTGTGTTACTTCACTTCTCTGTCCTCTGTTCCCTCATTTCACTTGCTTCACAGGGTGCCAGTGAGGGTTAGAGGCCACACAACAAAAACCTCCAGAACGGAAGCTAGTCCTCTAACTCCAAATCTCTGTCCTAATTTTCAACTTGGCCAGGACTGCATCCTGTTAACAATTCGGGCTTCTCTCCCTGATCCCAACACAACCCATCCTCATGTGCTTACAGGCAGGATGAAAGGGGAGCCTCCCTTCAGAGAAAAATGTTCTCATGAAGCCACCAGGGAGACAAATCAGCACAGTTCTAAACACAGGCACAATACTGTGCTGGGCAGAGAGCTACTCGAAAGGCTCTGGGAGCAAATGCACCTAATACGGACCCCAGAAGCAAGTGCTCAACTAGCCCTCAATATCATTAGTCCGAGATACACAATACTCATGGAAATTTAAGTTTAAAGACATTTCCGTGAAGACCATACAGCAAGAGAAGTTGCTTACCGGTGCATCTCACCACCTTATCTTAAATCAAGCTCTCCAGATAAGCAGACTCTCAATATATTCAATGAACACAAGAATGGTTATTCCTAAATTCACTGACCTTCACATCTGAGCTCAGAGAGGCTCTTGATTACGTAAAATGAAACTGGTAATAACCTGTTTTTAAGGTCTGTATCCTGGGGCAAGGTCCAGTGGCACATACCTGTAATCCAAGCACTATGGGAAGCTGAGGCACGAGGATCACAAGTTCAAGCCCAGCCTAGGAAACTTAGTGAAATCCTGCCTCAAAATTTTAAAAAAAGGCTGGGGAATACAGCTCAGTATGAGGCCCTGGGTCCAAGGAAGGAAGGAAAGGGGGGAGGGGAAAGAAGGGGGAAGACAGGAGTGGGAGGGAGAGGGGAAGAGAAGGGAAAAGAGAGGGGAGGAGGGGAGGAGGGGAGGAGGGGAGGAGAGGGGAGGAGAAGGGAGGAGAGGGGAGGAGAGGGGAGGAGAGGGAAGGGAAG